TTAGCCCCCCCCTGCCGTTACCTGGGTACCTGTCCCCTTAGGAAGGGATTGGCTGTCCCTCCCGTCATCCCCCACAGTGCAGCACCCCTGTTGTGGGGGGAGCAGAGGGCATCTGCAAACAGCTCTGCTCCTGGCATGGCTGAGCCCTTGCTGGAGGGGAGGGGAAGGGACCTGGCTGACTTGCTGGTATGTGGGATCAGCCCTTTTAATCCTGCTTGGGGACGCTGGTTGAGGATTACGTTCTGCCGTTAGGCCTGTCATCCTCTGGGATTGTCTCACTCTGGTTATCAAGTGCTCTTTATTGGGGAGGCTTTGTCCTGGCCCTGCTAATACCTACTGGTTTGGATTTGGGCAGTAATTCTTGAGTTAGAAGGAGCTGACCCATGTTATGCTGCTTTGTCTAATGCAGTGGTCACCAACCAGTCGATCGGGATCTACCCATAGATCTTGGGGCCTTTGACAGGTGATCCTGACTGGTTTGGCCGGGAAGCTATCAAGTGCTGGCACTTAAGTTGCCTTTCCACCTATTGTCCTGCTGCTCCTGCCCTCTGCCTTGGAGCTGCTCCTTGGGAACCTCCTGTTGCTGTGCAGAGGTGTGGGAGGGAGAAGAGCGGGGGCGTTGATGTCCGGGTGTCCCTCCTCCCCCCACTCCTGTACCCTATCTCCACACAGACAGAAGAGGATGGAGGGAGCTTGGCTCTGTGTGCGTGTGTGTGATTCTCACAAACACACACTGTCCTTCCCTCTCATCTCCTTACCCAACATGTAAATGGGGGGTTGTTACTACCTTTATTGCTTGCAGAGTAGGTTATGTTTGGTTTTTGACTTGTCTGTGCATTTCATAACTTTTATTTCTCTCTTGTGCTTAAATTTAATTCTTTGAGTAATGATGTCAAAGAATCTGTCATGTCTGGAGTAATTATCCCTGTGGTAATTGTGCTCCTGGAAGTGGCTGGCATGTCTCTGCAGCCCCTGAGAAAGGCGTCTCCACGTGCTGTCCTGCAGCTCCCGTTGATCAGTAACGGAGAACTGTGGCCAGCAGAAGCTGTGTGCTCAGTGCCTGTAGATGAGGGGCAGCACATGGAGCCATTGCTGTATATGCCAGCTGCTTTCAGGGGTGGTGCAGGGCCAGGGCAGAAGTACGCCTGCCTTAGCTCTACCGCACCATCTCTACCGCGCCATCTCTGGGGTGGCTGTTGGGGTGCTCCCAGGGTGGGTAGAGGGGGGTGGGATCGAGCCCACCCCCCTGTACTCCAGAGGCTGATGCCCTATCCCTGAGTTCACCGGAGATCCCACTCCACCTCCCTTCCTTCAGCACATCCTTTATTCTGCTTTCCTAGTGGGAGCCTGGTCCATCCCTGGGGCAGTCTGTGTTGGCTGTCTGGTCATTCCCACTGTGGGCAGGGGTGGGACTCAAGCCCACCACCCTTTGCTCCCCAGGTGAATGCCCTATCCCCTAGGCCACTCCAGAACCCACCCCCATCTCACCTCCCTACCTTCAGCAGGTTCCTTATCCTGCCTTCCTAATACGGAAGCCACCTGGGGCAGTGTTGGCTGTCCCCCAAATGCGTTCTCCCCTCATCCACTCCAGAACCCACTCCACCTCCCTACCTTCAGGGTGTCCCCTCCCACACTCTGAACTCCTTGGCCCAAGACCAGAGCCTGCACCCCAACTCCCTACCCCAGCCTGGTGAAAGTGAATGAGATTCCGGAAGGAAGGGGGATGGAGTGAGCAGGGTGAGGTCTCGGAGAAGGGGGGGAAGCAGGGGCGGGGACGCAGAGAAGGGGGAAGGAAGCCAGGCAAGGGTATTTGGATTTGAGGTGGATCTTACGTTGCATTTAAATTGAAAAGTGATCTTGTGGTTAAAAAGGTTGGAGATCACTGGTCTAATGGCAAGAATCTGCTTGGAAGCACAAGGTAGAAGAGGAGAATCCTGCCTTGGAACTGCAGGGGAGGAGCTGGGGAGGAAAATGAACACCTGTCACCAGTAGGTGGCGCTCCTTCCCTGCAGGACCTTGTAGAGTACTTAGACCGATCCTAGGACAGCTGCTGTCCGCTCCCCAGTGTAGTTTCGGCTTGAATGATAAGTGTGTGAGGGAGAGAAATACACCCCCACTTCTCCCAAAATGATGCTCTCTCAGGCAGTTCATTAAAGTTGATTAATAGCACAATGACCTCTTGCTCCAGGCTTGTGAAAATTGGAGGGCAAGACGTGAATCAGGTCCCCCAGATTTAAAGATCTGTCCCAAACACTCCAAGGTAAGCTTTTCCCTTCCCCTCTGGAGAGCAGACTGGCCTCACAGTGTGATCAAGGCAGGAAACGCAGGGTGAAGCTGATCTTTACCGTCCGGGTATTGTGCAGGGCAGGGGGAAGAGAGGCAGCTTCTCAGAGGGCAGGAATTTAGGTTTAAATCCAGGGGCTGTTCAGCAAAGTGCTGCAGTAACACGCCCTAGTGGTTTTAATGTCTGGGGTGTCTTTCTAGCCCCGTGGAAATCAATGAGATTTCATTATTTACTCCATTGAGGCCAGGATTTCACACATGCCCTCTTAATGGCAGCCTGATGCTGGCATAGACAGCCTCCTGGCAGCGCAGTGACCTGTCCTCACACACGCAGCGCTTTCCTTCTGTAGGTCTCAAAGTGTTTTATGAAAGCGGTTATTTCAGGTGTGGAAACTGAGGCATGAGCGGCATCTTCACCCTCTGGGGCGAGACAGAGGCTCAGTGGGGGTCAAACCTGTCGGGGGAATGTTATTGCTTAAGAGGCGGTACCAGCTGCACTTCCTCAGCCATTCCATGGTTGTGAGAGGGTTCCCCTTGGCGCTGCGGAAAAGCTGCTTCCTGGAGGGTTTGACGCCCGCTGGCGTTACCTGGCCTACTTCATCCCTCAGAACCAGGAAAGATCTGCCAGTGACCTCCGGAAACATGGGGTCGCCTCAGGCATGTCTTCTCCTGTGGTATAAAGCAAAGACTCTGCTGCCATCTGGGGCAGTCACTATGCTACAGGCAGGTTCGTTTGCAGTACTGGCCAGGCAGGATGGCCTCCCCGGTGAGAGGTGGTGCCGCTGAATGGGCTAGTGAGGGATAAAAGCAAGCAGTCAAATGAAAAAGGCAGACAGGAAGTGAATGGGTCGGGGAGACAGGATGCTTGGAGATGTACCCTGGCTCTCTGCACATCTTTAGCCCTGTGGCACATTCTGCCCTGTGTGTCTGAATGGGGGGACCTGGACCCGAGATAGTGCTGACCCTGCCGTTCAAGGACATTCGCTGAGATCCTGAGTGAGACGAGCAAGGGAACAGCATTATTCTCGCCCCCTTCCATGTCAGTTCTTTATTCCTCCCCCCTCCGTGTCAGACAGGTTGTACTGTGCCCCCTCCCTGGGAGTGGGAGGCAGAAGAGCACTGGGCAGCCAGCCTGGAGCCTGGGCCACTCTGCCAGAGAGCCCCAAGGATTCCCCGACCAGCTGTCTCTGCTCTAACACTAGCATCTCTAGGAGCTCAAATGGCATATAGTGGATGTCAGGGGAGCACTCACCATTTTCCTCAAGCACATGGAGCTCTGCCAGCCCTGCAGCACTTTTCATCTTGCATCACTGTCAAAGGGAAGGAGGCATTGAACTCCTGCTGCAGAGAGGATCAAGGCATGTATTGCTGAAGCCTATAGAGCAGTGGTCCCCAACATGGTGCCCGCGGGTGCCATGGTGCCCGCAGGGGCATTTGTGTGCGCCCGCAAAGTGCTTGAGGCAGGCCCCGCCCCGGGCGCATGGCACATGCGCGGTGCCAGAGCCGGCCCCGGGCACATGGTGCACGGAGAGCGCCGGTCCTGGGAGCGCGGCGAGTTGGCTGCCCTGGGCATGCGGCTATGGGGAGCGCCGGCCCCGGGAGCACGGCAAATTGGCATCCCCGCCCCTGGGCACGCAGCTATGGGGGGGGGGGGTCTGTGAGGGGGGTGCTGGCTTTGGGTGCGCGGCTATGGGGGGTGCTGGCCCCAGGCTTGCTGCAAATGGGCGGCCCCGCCCGTGGCCACACAGCGCATAGGGTTGCTGGCCCCAGACACGTGGTTCATGGGGGTGTGGCGTATGCCCGGCCCCGCCCCTGGGTGCGCCAGTGTCCCCACCCTCTGGCGCCTGGCAGGCGAATGGCCACGCCCCCTGGCGCTTGGTAGCTTCAAATGGTTGGGGACCACTTCTATAGAGCATCTGAGTGAGCCCACCCAACAGCATTAGAGCCCTCACTTTGAGGGGTCAGCAACCTCTTGGGCAGAACGGTCTAGTTCTTCACATAAAGACATCCGTGTGGCAGCTACGTGGCCATCTGTGTTCACAGAACACCGCAAGGGAGCTGTCCTCCTTCAGATGGAGCTTCGGGATATGGGAACATCTGAATGTGAATCTCCCAACAGCAATCGAAGTTCAGTGCCTAGTTTTAATTCTCCTCCCAGCCTGGCCTGCGTGGTACATCCCACAGTCCAGAGTGTCAGATGGGCGTGGGGGAGAAGAGAGGAAAATTCCTTCTGATCTGGGGACTTTCCTTCTAATACCTTCCCAGTCTGGCCACCCGAAGGAGGATTCATTCTTCAGAATTGAAGTTGCTGGTTCTCTCCTGTTTTCCCATATTAGCATGGATCCAGGGATGCATCAAGGAATATTGGTCTGTTCCCTAGGGCTCTGTTACGGGTTCTGGTGCCTGGAATACACAGTTAATGATGGTCAGCATGAGAAGCTGTCATTCTGGGGCCCTGCCTCCGGGTTGTCTGTCAGTCTTTGTTCTGCTTCCAGCTTGCAGTACAGTCAGTTAGGGAGGGAATTAGAAAATTTACAGGTCAGAAGACAATTTTCTGTTTTCATAATTACCACAATTTTTTTTTCTCTTTCTAGGTCCTTGGGGCACGACATCTTCCCAAAAACGGGAGGGGGATCGTTTGCCCATTTGTGGAGGTCGAGGTGTCTGGAGCAGAGTACGACAGTGCCAAACAGAAGACAGAGATTGTTGGTGAGTACCCGGGTTGGCTCTCACGGTGTAGCGCAGGTGCAAAAAAAATCCCAGGTGTAGTTTGTGCCTGCAGAAAGGGAACCCATGTGCTTTAACCCTGTTTATAAACTCTTTTCCTTCCCATTGATCTAGGTTTGTGGCATGCATCTTCGCTAAGGAAAAATAGCATGTGCTTAACTTGGGTTAGCAAACATGAGGTAAATTCCTCATGAAAACCTGACAGTGTTTAGTTTTAACATGAGTTCGGTTTCCCCACAATCAGTACTTCGGCCTGCTAACTTGTGCTAACCACACGCTACTGTTCTTCAGCTGGATCTTAGCCTCATGTTAGCTGGCC